TCACAACTGCAAATAGGATCATAGAATAATTTGGGTTGGAAGTGACCCTCCTGCTATGAGGATTTTTTTACTAGATCCAGCTGCTCAAAACCTGTCCAGCCTGAGCTTGAAGACTTCCAGGATGGGTATCCATATCTTCTCTGGGCAAGCTCTTCCAGTGTCTCACCACCCTCATCACAAAAAAGGCTTCCTTTGCCTGAGCTCCTCTGGAAGTTCCCCTTACAGGCTTGCTGGGTGGAAAGATGCTTCTGGTATCTTCTGTACCTCTCCAGCACATTCTGTTCTCACAGAGAGTCTCATACTAATAGCTTTTTGGTCATTAAATGCAGCCCATAAATGGCTACTGATTCAAGTCTGGTTCAATCACAGAGTTCTCTGGGAACTGATTTACACTCATCACTCCCTTTCTGTAAAGCACTGAACTACCAACTCATCAGTTCAAGCAAAGTCTCGTGGAAAAGTAACATTTCAGTCTTACTGCTGTGCTGACAACCTCCCGAGACTTATCTGCTACCACCTGGATGACTCCTGGCAGTGGGAAAGCAGACGGTACCACTCACAGCCAGCTGAATAACCAGCTCCACAAATGTACCATGTCTCACTTCTATCACACACAGTTACATCTTGCTTTGTCTGAAAACTTCCAGAGATGGTTTAAAAAGAAAAAAACAACCAACTAAGCAAAGAAAAAAATTTAAAAAACCTCAACCCCCTCCTCACCTTTAAGAGCTGCACAGTGCTTCTTAATCGCAGGAGGAGTAAGATGCAAAAAATTGGGAATCTGAAATAGATATATAAAGAGTTACCAAAATAATAGCTTTTTGTCTGATCAGAAGTAAATGGACATTACTGAAATCTGATTACACTTCTCACGTTTGCTAAGGCAGTATAACACACTTAAGGAAAATTCATATAAGCAAACTCTTCTCAAGTCTGACTTAGGGAGACTTAAGTCTGTGACAAAAGTCACAGGCATGATCATCCTAAAAAGTCTCCTCATATAATCTACTCGTTAATTAACTTTATATTTGTTACCACTTAGAAATTCAAGAGGATTATGTGACTTAATAACAGAAAGTAGTCTCCAAGACAAATATTCCAATCAAAGCAGTGCAGCCTTAGTGAAGAGTGACTTTAAAAGTGACCCCCTAGCCATGGCATGCGTCTTACCTTGATAAGTTCTAGGTTGCCTTCTTTTGGTGGAGGCACTCCTCTCTTCACTGGGTAACCCATTCGGATTGGGAGAGGCACAGAGGCAGGTTTGAAGGCAGCTGCTGTTGGGTACACACTGCTCCAGTCCTGATCCACAGCCATCCTCTCTGTCCTGGGAGGTGCAGCCTAACCAAGGGAAAAGGGGACAGGTGGGACGGGAGATACACAGGATATAAGACAAGGCAGGATCAACACACCAAACAGTGATTTCAGGAATCAGTTCCCACAGCTGGACATTTCACGGCTCTTCTATAGCAAACGTTAGTGCTGATTTGTAGAGGAATTTTTAACAGAGAGCCTTTCCCATCTTAGCTGCCAGGCCTTTCCCAATCTTCCACTGCATTTGATGGCAGACATGCTTAGAAAAAAGAACTTGCCATCTTCCTGCCTTGGGATAAATCAGGAGGGGGAATCAAACCAGTATAGAATTGGAAACTCTATTTCCTAAAGGGCCTGAACATGTGGTGGGAGACACGACAATGAGTTTTAAAATTCTGGAATTCTGCAGGTGTGGAACAGTTCATAATTAATAATGCTGAAATTTCTTGCCATAGAAATTCCAGTGTAGGGACAATGTGGCAGAAATAGCTTATCCCCTCCAAAAACCGACCATCATTTCAGTCAAATGCTCTTAGAAAAAGAAAGCTTCATGCTAGAAAGCAACCACCACAAATCCTGTAAACTCAGGCTGAAAACAACATTGACATGTCTGGGTTATTGGAAATGCGAGTTTAAGTTACTTTTCAGACCTGCACTACATGGTGTCAATGCAAGTTAACCATCAGCTTAGTGTTTTATTTTGGATTTTCGGTAACATAGACCGAAAAGGTTACAGAAGACAGGTGCTGGCCTGGAGCAGTCCCAGGGGATTGTTTCACCAGGATTTGGCTGCAGAAGGGGCTCCTGGGCAAAGTGATACAACATACAGCTTAGAAAACTTTCCCAAACACCTGAGTTAACTGTAAATTTCAGTACTTACTAATCTCACAAACTGTGATGTCCTGCCTCTTCTCCTTAATGAACCTGGAAGAAGGAAAAACAAAAGAGATGAGCAAAATCATTTAAAAATAAATTATTCTATAGTTTTGGGAGAAAAAAAGTAGCATAACGCTGTATGTTTTTTTAGTCTTTGTGACAATATCCAGTAATACCCCACAATCTTTACAACAACACCAGAATAATGTGAACCTGATAACATTTATTTTCAAGTGTCTGGTTTGAGTTCAGAAGTTTCATTGATTGTACATATTTAGCAAAAAGCGATGGCTGCAATTTAGGAAGGGATGTTTGAGTTCTTTTTTATCTCACACGTATGTCTTACAACCCTACGCCATAAAAACTTGTGGATTTCGCATGTTATTTGTTTTTCTTATCCGAGAATTTTATGGACCTTTTTCTCTTCATCCGCTTCTTGTTATTAAAATCTTAAACCGAACAGTACGGCCATTCAGGGCTCTCCAACAGACAATATTCAGCATTCCTTTATCCCTCCACCTACCTTTTTCATGGTGCTTTCTCATATAGCCACAACAATCTTACTATTCCTGTTACAAACATCTGTAGTTTCAGGTCAGGACACCTTTAGGTACTGCAGTGCCACTGGACATCACTCAGAGGCTCTTTCAGCGACCTGGCGTGCTCCGGGAAAAGGCCAGGAAAACCCTGACCCATTGGCAGATGCCAGGCACGACACTGAAGGCTTCCCAGGAGTACACACAGCAATGAAATTCCCCTTGGGAACAGCCTAGCAGAGGCACCGCTCCGCTGCAGCCCTGCCTGCCGCGCGTCCCGCCGTGCCGGCGGTGCAGCCCGAGCGCCCCGGGCACCGCGCGCTCACCTTCCCGAGCCTGCGGCCCTTCCCTGCCGCTCACCGCGGGCGCCGACGAAAACGCGGCGCGTCCCCAGCGAGGCGTGGCCGAGGCCCCGCCGGCGGCCCGGGACAGCAGAGCCGGGGACAGCAGAGCCGGAGACAGCAGAGCTCCGCAGCTCAGCCCGGCCCGGCAGCACCGCCCGGCCCGCGCCGCCATCCCGACCCCGCCACGCTCCTCCCGCGGCCCTGCCCAGCGCTACGGCGGCCGGCACGGGCCTGGCTCCGCAACGCGAACGCGGCAGCTCCGCCCTCACCGAGCCCCGCAGGGCCCACCCTGCCCAGGGAGTAGCCGCAGGAATCCCGGGCTCTGTCCTGAGCGCTGCTGGGGAGACCTGAACTGGGAATATCCCGGGTTGGAAACGTGTCCTGGCTCTGCACACACACCCCAACGATCCCATGCTGTGCATGCCCGGGAGCGTTGTCCAAACAATCCTGGAGCTCTGGCAGCCTTGGGAGCCTGTTCAGTGCCCAGCACCCTCTGGGGGAGGAACCTTTCCCTGATATCCACCCTAACCATCCCTGACCCAGCTCCAGCCATTCCCCAAGACCTGTCCCTGGTCACACAGAGCAGAGATCGGAGCTGCCCCTCTGCTTCCCCTCGTGATGGCCATGAGGGGCCTCCTCAGTCTCCTCAAAATCACGGTTTTTTCCCCTCACAAGTAAAAATACAACTTCTCCCCTCAGTCTCCTCCAATTTATTTTTGGGGGATTTACTTTTCCCCCCCAGAACGGAAGGGAAGGAAGACTGGTGAAAACAGCCAAGCAGTACAGTTCGGAACAGGAGATGTAGCCAGCAACTAATGAAAAAAGTTTAAGTCAATGTAGCTGTAAATTGAAACAGGATAGCCAGTAAAATTTGCTAGGATAGGTCCTCCAAAAACTGTGCATTTCTTAAAACTAGTAATCAAAACCCTCTGCTAAAAGTTGATGGCATTTATTTCTCATTCACCTCTTCCCACAAGATCCTTCAGGCTCCCTTTTTTTTTGTTGCAGAGCAAATCGAATTGTGCTGGGCTACATCTGAGACACTCCAAAAACCTTATATGAATGACAATGGACTGTGACTTTTCTAGCAAACACACTGCAAAAGGGACTCAAAATTTTGACTCATAATTCATAGTGAAAGGGCTTCAAATTAAAAGTAGTCTAAATAGCTGCCTGGAAAGTCCTGTGTTAAAACCGTAGATACTGCTCAGAGCTGGGGCCTTAGAAGTCGCTAAGAATGAAGTGAAATACCAACAGGCACATTGAGAGTTTCCTCTGGAACACAGCATGTGTTTCCTTTTCCAGGGAAAGTTCCTTTCAGCTCTCCTAATGTTTTAGCCAAAAAATAGATCTTGATAGGGAAACAAAACTGTTGGTAGCACAGGTGGTCCCAGTAAACTGCCTGAATTTTCAAGTCTGGTTGAAAAAGATATGCACAGTTTTATTCATTTTGTATTTATTTTGTGTAAAATGTACAAGTATATCATCCTGAAGGACAGGAAATGTAAGAGGAGGGAAAAAAAATCTAAGGAAAACATGTAAACAGAAAAGACTATGTGATTTGTTTATATCTAGAAAATCACAATATTGACAAACATCATGTGGAATCTTAGCAAGGAGAATTGAATGCCTCTGAATGTTTTTCCTTACTGGAAAATTGACTTCCTGCTCCATTTGCTTCTCTTTCCTGCTTTCAAACTGTACTTTTCAGTAATAAACTAGTAATAGAATTTTCTCTCTGCTGCAGCACAGCCAACTCAGAGTCCAACATCTTGTCTTGATGGCCACATTCCACAGGAGGCTTTTATATTTCATAATATTTTACAGGATTTGGAAAGCAACAGATTCCCATACATTCACCGCCTGCTGGTTTTAGTGGGAGGCGATCCACGGCTGTCTGAGCCGATGAGCTCTTTGCTCTGCCAGTGGCACCATGGCCAGCACTGACCTACAGATATCAGTGTTAGTGATAAGACCCAAGGAATTTCAAGGCTCTTCTACAGCAAAAGTTAGTGCTGATTTGTAGAGGAATTTTTAGCAGAGGGTCTCTCCCATTTGGCTACCAGGCCTTTTCCAATCTTCCACTGCATTTGATTTCAGAGATGCTTAAGAAGAAGAACTTATTGTCTTCCTGCCTTCAGAAAAATCAGCAGGAGGAGGAGGGGGAATAAAACCAGTATGGAATTGGAAACTATTTCCTGAAGGGCTTGAGTGTGGGGTGACAGGCAAGACAATGAGCATTAAAGTTCTGAAATTTCATAACACCCCAGTTATTGAGCATTGGAGGGGAACAGGGTTTTGCTGCTTGGATGCTTATCAAGGAATACGTTATTATCATGGAAAACCTGCTTTCCCAAAGGTGACTGTCCTTCCCAGAGCTGGGCAAGGCCAGTCATGTCTGATATTGTTCTCAAGGACCATGGCTGAGGGTGCTGAGTGCCCCTTTGGGCAGCGAGCAGGTGGCACCGATTTGTGCAGGAGTTGTTGATCTGCAGGAGGGTAGGAAGGCTCTGCAGAGGGGCCTGGACAGGCTGTGTGGGATGAGGTTCAGCAAGGTCCAGTGCTGGGTCCTGCACTTGGGCCACAGCGATTCTCAGCCTGTAGAGCTCTGTTACAAAATCGGGGGCAGAGGTTCTCAGTTGACTGTTGGTGTCAGTTGTTTCTGGCAGTCTTTCAGTTGTCCCTTGGGCCACCCATAGACCTGCAGAACCTTCAGGCTGGTCCTGCTGTGAAGGGTGAGCCTTGCTGCTGCCTGGGTGGAAGGCCACTGGTAAGGTAAGGACATTCCCCACCTCCCTGGCTTTTCTCCAGAGCACAGAGGTGCTCAGCAGCTGACTGCAGCCACATGTATTGACAGTGCTGACAAGACAAGCCAAGGCTCCACTGCTGGAATTCAAAAGGCTCTCCCATTCCTCCCCCAGCCTCTCATCTCATCTTTCTGAGGACACTGACCTCCTCCCTCAGTATTTTCCTTCTGCATCAAAGCTCAAGGTCAAGTCAAGGGTGCAGGGATCCTCCTGGTCTGCTTTCCTGACACTTCCACAGTCACCAGGAGGTACAGCTCATTTGTGGGATCAGTGGGGCATGTTCTGCTCACTCAGTCTGCAGCTCACCAGCACTGGTGAAATGGCACCTCAGACTCTAACTCCTCTTTCTGTAGACAGAAACGCCTGTCTGAAATACTCAGGCCATTCTTAAAAATCTGCATGAAACTTAATGTTCTCTGTCGTGCCACATAGTGTCACCATATATTTCTGACCCTTTTCTCTGAAATCTGCTGCTCTAAGGAGTATAGAGACTACTTTGAGTTATGTTTTATTAATTACTTTGGGCTTTTCACACAGAGTTGTTCAACAAAACCTTTTCTCTCCTCTCTTTCTGCAGCCTGAGCAAAAGACGTGGCTGAGTTTGGTCATGGATAACAGCAGTGGTCCTGTTCTTCTCCTCACCTTGCTCCTGCTGCAGAACACGAGCAGCCCCAAAGCCTCCACCCCTCCTGCTGGCTATGGGATGGCAGAACCTCCAGCCCCAGGAGCCGGCTCCAGCAGGAACCACTCTCTGGTAGAGTATGGGCTGAGGCCGGGGGAAATCGCAGCTGCCTGCGTGGCTTGGGGAGCGCTGTGGCTGATTTCTGTCTTGGGAAATTTCCTCGTTTGCTTAGTGATCCACAGGAGCAGGAGGACACAGTCCACCACCAGCTACTTTGTGGTGTCCATGGCCTGTGCAGACCTTGTGAGCAGCGTGGGGAGCGTGCCCTTCCTGCTGCTGCAGCTGATCTCGGGGCGGTGGATGCTGGGCAGCGGCGTGTGCCGCCTGGTCAGGTACCTGCAGTACCTCACGCCCGGGGTCCAGATCTACGTGCTCCTCGCCATCAGCATGGATCGATGCTACACTCTCATCCATCCCCTGAATTTCAGAGTTTCCAGGGAGAAAGCCAAGAGAATGACTCTGGCCTCTTGGTTCTGTGGTGCTCTGTTTGCATCACCAGCCTGTTTTCTCTATGGCTCCAGCAGTGATCACCACTGCAACTTTTTCCTCCCCAGTTCTTGGCTAGGAGCCATCTCTGCTGTCATCTACCTCTCAGTGCTGTTGCTTTTGATCCCATCACTCCTCATTATCCTCTTCTACCAGAAACTCTTCACCTACATTTGGAGAAGTGACACAGCTGGCAGGAGGGCAATGAATCTTGTCTCAAGAAGAAAAGTGAAAACTGCCAAGATGTTCTCCATCTTTGTCTTGGATTTTCTTGTGTCCTGGCTTCCTTTCTTTGTGGTACAGTTGTGGCACCCACAGGAAACGGACTACGAAAAGAGCTCCTTGCTTTTCCTGGCCATCACCTGGTTCTCTTTCAGTTCCTCAGCCTCTAAGCCAATCCTCTTCTACAAGTATAATGCAAACTTCAGAAGAGGAATGCAAGAAATTTGTTGCATGTGGAAATACCCCAGAAACAACATCTACACCATTACTACCAGTTCCAGGACAGCCAAAAATAATCACATTGGGACTACAGATATACCAGCACCAGCCCAACCTCCACAAATACTCTAACTGTGATGCTTTTAACAGAGAAGTCAAGGAGCATGGGCTTGCCAAGCCTGGTTTATTATTATTATTTTATTTATTATTATTTTTATTATTTTGAAAAGCAATGGATGACCTAAGGGGGTGCAATGTTCCCCCAGAAGAAGGAGGAGCTTTCACTCTTCTGAAACAATAAATAGTTACGTATTTTAGACCAGTTCCTAGGGCAGAAAAAAAATAAATCCTCCATATTACTTATTGGCTTGGGTTTGCATTTGTTCTATTTCATTTCAGTTGTCATGTTCTGCTTTGGGGAACTCCTCTCCTGGAATCTAGTAGAGTCCTTACACTCTCTGTCTGTAGGGAGAAAAGGGAAAGAAAGAAACACTGCTTGTTACAATCCCTTTAAGAGATAGGCCATAGTGCATAAATGCCTAAATCCACCCAAAGGCATCTAGGCTTCCTTCCAGTATGTCCCTGGGTATATTTCTGCACTTGGCTTGTCCCTCTTGTTCAGACTCCACTGGTGTGGTGGACAGGATGGTGTTGGGTTAATGGCTTGATTGGATAATCTGAGGGGTCTTTTCCAACCTAAACAATTCTAGGATTCTGTTTCCTGTGGGAGGACGGATTATAAGAGAATAGAGAAAGCACTGAAGGCAATCTCACCCCGGATAAATTGCAGCTGTACTTATTGCCAGAGTGGGAACAGCCTTGCCCCTTAATAGGGCACAGCTATGTCTAGTGAGGATGGGTGTTATAAAAGAATGGATTAGCTGGGCAGGGATTAGTCTGCTGGCTGTGTTGTGAGGAGAAAGGGTCAAGTGGTAGGACAGGATGGTGTTAGCCAGTCCTATGAAGAAGGAAGAGAGAAAGAAGGGGAGAAAAAAGTCAGTGTTGCATGGAGCTGCTTGTGGGAAGTTTACAGAGAGAAAGGTATGAAAGTTTTCTTGAGATCATAAGGGACAGATGCTTCTGTTGTTGTGAGTCCACCATTGGTTGGTGCCCTGTGTGAGGAGCAGGTGACAATAGCCTCCTTCCTGTGCCTCTGTTTGTCTTTGTGAATAACCTTCTCCTGGAAAAGTCACAGCAGATTGTTTCATCAGGGTTTGACTGCAGAAGGGGTTCCTGGACAAATTTCTAACTTAGGACCCTTCCTTCTCAGGCTCTGCCATCCTGTGGCCTATTCCAATGTGTGGCTATATAGTCGCAGAGCCATGATTGCATTGTATGGAGTTATGGAATATCCTGGGTTGGTAGGGAGCCCTGGCCCTGCATAGATACCCCTATAATCTTACCCTGTACTTGAGAGTGTTGTCCAAATGCTCCTGGAGCTCTGGCAGCCTTGGGACTGTGATAATTTCCTGGGAACCCTTTCCCTGATATCTAGCCTAACCTTCCCCTGACACAGCTCCAGCCTTTCCCTGGGTCCTGTCCCTGGTCACAGAGAGCAGAGATCAGAGCTGTCCCTTGGGAGGAAGCTGCAGACCCTGTTGAGGGTTACCCTGAGCCTCCTCCAAGTCAGTTTTCTCCCCTCACAACTAGAAATAAAACTTCTCAGTCACTGCATGCTATTTGTCTCTTCAAAACAGTGATAGGCTCTTTTCAACAAGCTCTGTAGATTTTTTTCAGGAAAACACAAATAGATTCATCCCTGGGAACACCTTCCCCGTGGAAACAAGATAGTGATTCTGTCATGTGTAAATCTGGACTAGGTAGTGCTGCTTTTCTTAAATGTCAACTCTTTTTTCCTGTACCTGAAGATATTTTTGTGCAGATGTTAATTGGGTTTCTTGGTAGCAATATGCTTGTGACCCTGGCTGTGCCCAGGAGTTCTGGTTTTCAATCTGTTTGTTTCATATTACAACAGAACTGTAGTGTATTTTACCCTTGCATTACTAATAGAGCATCTCACAATGACTCCACCTACTTTAGCACAATTATTGGTCAGAATGCATTATGAATGATGGACAGTAATACAGTACATAGAGTAATTCTATGCTAATTAAAGTATAAACTTTGCAATTACAGATTTCCACAAGGTTTTTGGTAATTTTACAAATTTTGAGGTATGGGATGTCCATCCATTTTTAACAGCTGATGGAAAAAGGACAAAGAAAGAGATGATGGAATTTTTAGTAGCAATGCCCAATAAATGTTCAAAGCTAAGTTGAATTATTTAAATTATGTAAGTCTTTGTATTCTCAAAGTTAATTCTGACATGTCCAGAGGTCAAAGACAGCAAGGTATCTGAGTGAGCATTTGGGCTTGAGTACCCAAAAAAGTTGAATCTATCCTGAACCTGAAAATTGAAGATTTTATATCCTGAACTAAAAATGAATTTTTAAGTCCACTTTTTTTTAAAGTAAGGAGCGTGGACACACCTCTAGAGGCTATACATTGGTCATGTTGTACATATGGGATATAAAAAGGCACTGAATAATATATTAATTCATTCACAAATATCTCTTATAAATAATTGCTTTTCCAATTAAAAAAGTCTTTGCATCTCCATTTTCAGTTGTGTCAGGTGAACCCCATTGCCCTCATTATGACGAGTCATTGTCAAGGCCAAGAGAAATGCTGTGTATTTCCACACTTCTCTGCTCCTATACATCCTCAGGACAGACACGTTGCAAGTCAGTTTTTGCACCTGAATGTCACATGAAGAGTGGTGTCAGTGCTCAGAATTGGACAACTCTTTGGTTTACAGTGGTACTTAATGTAATTAAGGCATTTTACAACTACTCAACAATGCCTTGAGCTGGTCTTACTGGCCTTCTGAAGTCCTGCTCTGTATTCTCACTTAGAATATTCTTACTTAGAAACCACTCAATTTTATCTTATTTTCCACATTAGGGTAACATAAGAAGAGACCTTTTGTTGTTGAAAGCATGTAGTGCCAGTCCCAGAACAAGATCAGCTGCAGGTGTTATATGTTAGCTTGGAGTTCCTATTTCATGACTTCAGTGTGGGTCACTTGCATGTCTCTCCCAAATTTTCCTGGCTTTCTTAAAAAGACAGTAAGTCACAATTATTGTTTACAAGTCAGCTTTCAGGAGAGTGATCCATGTTCAGCACACTGCTGCTTTTGGTAGATTTTACTCCAGATGAAAATCAAATTAACACCCTCCATCTTCAGGAGGGTGCTTTTAAAGAAACATTTATGGGATGTTCTAGTTGCTAGAACACAGAGCTCTCAAGCTCACTCACTTCTTCCACAATCCTTACTGTCAAGGCAGCTTCTTTTCTACAACAAATTTTAAACAGATCTTATCACAGATACCTTTGTTTAGATTCCCTGTATTCTGCCAAGCTAAACAGTCCCAGATTTCCAAAATGTGGACAAAACTGAAGTGCCTCAGATGCCAAGTGTCTTTGCTGAGCTCATCATATCCAGCTGAATGTATTAATTCTGGGAAGAATGTAGGATCTGCTGGAAAGGTCCTGGGTGACATTCTGAGCACCCAGAGCAGTGGGGTCGTACTCACCAGGGAGCTCTCTGCCCTGCTGTGTGTAAGAGAGTTAAATCAGCCTGGCTTACTGGGATTGCTTGGCATGCAGTGAGAAGACCCTTGGCCAGCCTTTGTGCTTGTGCTCTTTAAATGCCTGCAGAGCACTAAGCCCGGCTTTCTGGTCATGCTGCGTGTGTGCACTGTGTTATGTGCTCTGGAAGCAGTGAGGGGTTTAGAACGGCCAGAGAGCAATAAGCAGCCCTCTCAAAAAATTACAGGAGATGGAAGTAAGAAAATATGCTTCACTTTGAGCATGAGGTGAATAATTTCAGAAGAGTTACTGCCTGAGGCTCCAGTTTAGCAAAGAAAGAAGGCAATTTGGCCCGGTATGTTAAGAATTTCGGGTTCAGTTTACTGCACTTTAATATCAGCTTGGTAATCAATTGAAGGTTATATAAAGAGCCCACGGCTCACAGAAAAGAATCCTTATGGAAACTTTAGGTAAAATTAATAAAATGTCTTAGTCACTTTTAAACTCATACATGTAAATGTAAAAATTCCCATCTGTGCTTACCCTGAAAGGATCATTGTCATCTTTCCAAACTGCCTCTTTGGTTATAACACACAGCTCCTATGTAAAGAGTTTCTCCTGAAGTAATAGTTCTATTTTGGTCAATCTTTTCAGATATACTTGAAATAAGCACCTACTTTTCATGGTATTCTATTACAACCCTAGAACCAATAACAGTATCCTTTTCCTCCAGTGCATCACTAATGATTTAAACAAACCCAATCAAACAATGCTGGGACACTTAATATAATTGAAGAAAGGAATCAAGTAACAGCTGAGGTTCACTATGCAAGAATTTATATTGCCTATTATTATTTGAAGGTTCTCTGTGGCTCCTATCACGTTACCTCTTCAGCAGTGCCCATAGGGAACCTGTTTCATGCAGTAATTTTGTCTAATGCAGCATAAGCATAACAACAGATACTTTGACCTACATGGTAGTAGTTTAAGTTCATCTGCTTTATTAATATCCAGATATTGAAAATGCTCTGGCTTTATATGAAGCACTTAAACTGTACATCAAGATTGTCCAGGTGGAATAACATGAGAACAGTGGCATTTGGCTGCATCATTCTTAAAATGACTTTCATGGAATGCATTATAATTATTGTTTGATTTCCCACAGTGTCTCAAATGGCAAACAGGTTCAGGACCCTGTGAAGTTGCCATTTGTCTAATAGAAATTAGTGCTCTTGAAACTTTGCTGAATTATGGTGCAGAAGTCATGGAATCAAAACTTTCCCAGTTCTGGTAGAGGAAAACACACTTTGTCAGCTCTTTCACCTGGTTCTTCAGCTTTCATGTCCCCCCTGCTTGTAGTGGGAGACAACATAAAATAGCAACAGGATGCTGAGCTAAGAGACTGAGGCACAGAGTATGTGTATTCTTCATGGAAAACTGAAATGTACCCCGAATGCCTGTGGAATAATAATTAAGCAACACAAGTGATTTGCTTATCTGAGATTTTCCACATATACATGCACACACGCACAAAGATAAGCTGAATGCATGACATCCTTGCTGAAATTAAAAATGCATGGTTTTTTGGGATTTTTTAGGAGATGTGTGTTGGATGGCTGTGGACTCATCAGGACTCGTAAAAATGGGAGAAAAACAGGACTTGGAGTCCCTCTTAGTTACCCAATGGTGGTGAGATGTGATTTTTGGGTGGGTGGGGGTCTGGGGCAGGGGCTTGTTGGGCAGGGTCTCTTTGCACTCTCCAGGATGCTGAATCCCATGGGTACCACTGAACATCCTTTGAAAAGGGATGCATCCTCAGGGTATGGTTCAGGTACACAAGCTGTTGTACTTTGGTTTCATTTTGGGATGGGTTTATTTTAAAAGAGTTGCCTATTTTCCTCTGTTTGATCAAAAGTGGCTGAATAGCTTTTTAATCAACCAGTCAAAAGCAGAACTAGAGATTTTCAGAATAATATTTAGGCCCAGGTGCTTACAATGTTGATGAATTTTCAAGAAATGAAAGGAACAGGTGTTGTAGGAACAGGAAGACAACCTGATCTGAAAGCTGCTGCTAGTTCTCCCTCTAATGATCATGCGAATTAATTGCTTTATTTTTTTAAATTTCCATCAGGCAGAGTTTATTAGAGTCAGCATAACAACAATAGTTTAGATCTTACCGTATGATTTAGTATAGATTTTATACATTTATGATAATTCTAAGATCTCTGCATTAATGATGTGCATCATGCTATGAGATTGGCAATTTCTTCACATCACAGCTATTAAGAAGTTCGGGCATTTCTTGAAGAACTTGCATCTTCTGTTCATTTTTCAAATAAAATATTTTAGTTTTAGTTTGAACAGAGAGGAAAAAATCTTCATAAGTGCAGGAGTCAAGTTAATTTCCTACAGGCATTCCATTGTGGAAATGAGAGATTTATGGAATTCTTAGGCACTACTCTGGGTCAAGCAGTCAGCCTTGTAGACTATCTATGTTAATACAAAAATAATGGAGCACTGCCAGCACTCATAAAAGACAATTTATCACATCATATCTTTCCCTCTCTGGTGAAATGCTACAATACATTTCACTTGGCAAACTTTTGGAGAGAATGGAAGCCCAGCGTCTCAGTCTGGACTTGCACCATCTCTCCAATACCACGGTGTACAAGTCATGATAATCTTAGTTTACATTCAGCATATCCTGGTGAAAGAGAATAATGGTGTTCATGGTGCACATTAAATGGACTGCCAAGTGCTCCACAGACAACTGAACTGGGCAACAGATTGGCAAGGCAAATATTGCCCCATTTTTCAACCTACAGTTCAAAAATAAAAAGTACTGTTAAGTGAACTCGGAGCTAAAGCCCCCTTTCTTAATTACCTTTGCTTACAGTCCCTTGTAAGAGCCCACCAGGCTGGGAAGCTGAATCAGAGAGCAAGGGCTGGAATTTTGCCCCCTTAAAGGAGTTCTGGGCACCACCAGCTGGAGCCACACGACTGGCTGGGTTTGTGCCCTGCTGTGATCACTGTTAAGATCCCATAGCTGACCCAGAGGGCCGTGTGGCACTCAGCACTGTCCAGCTCCTGGCTATCAGTTCTGGCAGTGCTGCAGATCCAGAGCAGATCTTCAAGAGCACTGATGCAGAGAGCTTACATCCAGGGAATGGAATCTGGGTTGGACAGAGGGGCACGGGAATGTTTTGCAAGTCTCATCTATTATTTACTCTTCAAGATATTTTCTAGTATTATGGGTTCCATATTATCTGTCTCTTGCATGACTCATTAACACTTTCCTTCTAAAACACAGCCCCCAGAGGAGACAGTGATGGTTGGTGCCAGTGGTGCTGTGTTTGGGTTTGTCTCTGAGAAGTGCCTCCTCCTCAAGAAAGGGCTCAAAAATGCATCTCAGAGCCAACATTTCTCTGTGCCTTCCCATCCTGGCCTTCTGGTTGTAAATTCCCAAGTCTAGTGCTAAGTGCAGTGCTGTCAGGGTGAGGAAGATGTGCTCTCTGAGTACAGGCGTGGCACCAGGCCCACCAAAGTTAAACACATGATGTGAGCCCAGCCACAGAAGTCATGCTTCTGTATATACACAGTTGCAGGATGCTGTGTGCCTCTATAGTTACCAGTGAACACTTCAGCATTTAGACATTCCTGGAATCATATGTTTGATGTAGGTCATAAATTAGTGAGGTGACTAATTGCCTTTTGAGATTTTGACCCAAAGATGTGATATACTGATTTTGGGGATGTGTGAAGGAATGAGTTCAAGTCTTCCACATTGCTATTAAAATCTATAATATTAGAGTCTATTAAAATCTCATTAAATCATCTTTTCCTCAACCAAAAAAAAAGGAGTTATGTGCTCTGGTTTCTATTTCTGCTAGGGTTTCAAACCTGCTGCTATTACATTGAGTTTTTGCATTTGCAATAATGCTGGGTACTACTATTCCCTCAAAGTAAACTTATTTTTAACCTTAAAATATCCACAAAAATTACTTCTTGGTTGGTTGGGGGTTTTTGTTTGGTTTGCTGAGGTTTTTTGAATATTTTTTCCCTTCCATACTTTAGCTAGTTTTGTAGAGCTTGAGTAATTACATTCAGGAGAGGTCACGGGTGAGGAGAGATGGCAATTTTTCCATTTAGCAAATTACTGTCTGGAAAAGTTAATAGAGTACAGAGTATAAAAATATTAATTGATGCAGCAAGCATTTCAGGAAGAAGCAAAAACCTGGAGAAGGATTTTTGTGGCTCCAGTCAGGTATCAGTTCTCAATAACCATTCACCTGCAGTAGTGTATGGAATAACGTATTCAATTCTGTGCACAGGGTAAACTGAGCAACACAGCATCCAAGGAAAATGTTCTGGATGAGTTGGCTTTTAGGTCAGACTACATGCAAAAAAGAAAGCAACTAAAAGGGTCTGAGTTTTTGTTTTGTTTAGAAGTTTTTGCAGTGGTTTGGAAATATAACTGGGAAATTAGGAAATAAGTTTCTGGAATAATCATTCCAAGGAAAGAGATGCCTTAGCCCCATGAACAATTATGATAAAAAATGAAGACTATATGCAATGGCAGCATTTCCCCACTGATGATAACCATAGGGTGAAAGGGGTACCTTTGTTCCATTCTCAAACTCCTGGCTCTGGAAAAGTGCGAAGCTTAAGTTTGGAATGATGGTGTTGCAGACAACAGTCTGATTTCTGCTACAGGAGGGAGGAAAGGAGAGAAATAGCAGTAAACACTTTCTCCTTCTCGATTACAGAGGTCAACAATAAAATGGGGAGTTAGATGCTGGAATGGTTATATTTGGGACTCTCTTCCTCGCAAATTAATACAAAAAATGACCTGAGAGAACCCTGATTTTCCATTACTTGATGTAACAATGAAGCACTGCTTTTGGCTTTGTCAAAACTTTGATGGAAAAAACCCTGAGCAACTGAAGCTGCTGTTTAGATTTTCCCAGTATGAAAGGAGGATGCAGAGCCTCTAGCTTGTCACAGGCATCACCTAATTCAGTGTTTAAAGATGCACAGTAAGGAAAGGCTGCTTTTAACGCATTGCAATGAAGTGTCTGCAGATAAGAAAAAGACTGGGAGGGAAGTTAAGCTGTTGCTTGTGATTGCTGGTTTTGACAGCAGGAAGAGGCAGAAGTAACTTCTCTCTGAAATCATCCAAACTGTTCTTTCTGTGCCTTTTGCAGGAGCAGCCATATAAGGCAGCCCAAAGGGAGGGCTCCTGCCTTGCTCAGGGTGGGACTTGGGGAGCTGTGGGCAGAGCCGGGCAGCAGCTCCTGTCCTGCACCTCTCCAGGGACTCCACGGTGTGCAGCAGCTGCCAGGAGAGGGATCCACCTGGAGAAAGTAGGTGCTGTTTGCCAGCTGGTTTCAGGTTTTTGTGTGCCGTGTCTGTGGGATGCCTTGTGTGCATGGAGCAGCCCAGGGAAGGTGTTCCAGAGAGCTGTGTTTGCTGCTCTGCACAGCCAGCCTTGTCCAGGCAGCCTCAGCACCCCAAAGCGAACGGATGCTCTTGGAGGTGCTTCTTAGGGACCTGCTGCAGGCTGGTGTGGATGAAGGGCTTTGTGCTTTAATGTTTGCACCCTCCAGCTGTTAATTCAGAGAACAGCTTTCTCTTGTATTTCTCTCTTTGCTCTAGGACTGATGTGGAAGTGTGAACTGATGCTCACCTTTCCATGAGCCCTGTGTAAAAAGTCATGTTAAAATGTATGCATTTAAATACTTTGTGGAATAACTTGGAGGGTTCTGTTCAGATGGAACAATCTGCAATGGGAGTTCATTCACTACACATGAGGAGCTTTAAGGAACAGCAAAAAGTAGGTTTAATTTAAAAAATAGTGTGGGGGGGTGATGGCTGAAATTCTCTCTCTAAAATATTCTGCTGAGGCTAAAGTAACTCTGAGTGTGGTGTGTAAGAAATAAAGCAGTACAAAAAAAAGACATCCACTCTCAGTCTCACAAAATTATTAATATTGCTGCTAAGAAAGTGCTGCTCTGTATTAGCAACAATTTAAGTCTGCTTCATGAAATACATATTGATCTAGAAGAACCCTATTGTCTTTTCTATTTTGTCTAGGTACTTATTTGAGAGTAGCAAAATTACCTGCAAACATGAAAGGGCTTGAAGAAAATCGAGGATCAGGCCAGGAGTCTTTTATCTTTTCCCTTGTAGCAATATTAGCCTCCCAGTATTAGTTATCATTAATGGCATCCTCTTTTTTACACTTGAGAAAAATTGTTCCAGGGTACTGTGGACTGCAAAATCAGATTATGTGAGGTGACTGAAATAATTTAAATCTTAAAATCTTCCCATAATATTGATGCTCTAGATAAGTTTTCCTGAGGTGTAGATGTTGAAGTTCAAAGCCTCATTCAGGTGTGTTTTGGGCAACACTTCATCTCTAATCAGGATGCTTCAAGAACTGCTCAGCTTAAAGTGATCTGCTAGGATCAGCTCTCAAGTCTCTGCTGCTGCACAAGTGTTGCACTGTTTAAATAGTTCCAGGCTTCCTTCTTAACAATGTCACTTTGAAAATTAATTTTCTTTCCTTCCTCCAAGAGTCTCAACCTCTTTACTTTCCCAGACTCCTTTCTGGTGTCAAGCACATGTCACTGTCTCATAGGTTTTTCTGATTTAATTTCAGAGGCTGTGAGTGACAGCAGGTGACAGGCTGTCAGCTCACACTTGTGTCCCAGAGAAGCTCCATGATAACAGCACAAAGTCATCTTATCAGCTGCTGGAGAACCCTGGGCAGGGAAGACATCCAATCCCTCCTTCATGATTTTAAATATTGATCAGAGACAGCAATACCTGTGTGTTGTTGCGGGATGTCGTGCGCTGGTGCAGGAGCTGCGGCGTACCCGGTGTGCAACCACCGTGGGCAGGATCGGGGCTCTGCTCTCCAGCTGAGCACTCTGAGTGGAAAGAGCAAATCTGCAGCGCTGTTGGAAGTCAGAGGGAACCTCGGCACCATGCAGTATTCTCCTGTGGCACTGAACCCAGAGCCCTCCGTGGATAAGGGATCTGGGATTGCCCAGAGCCCCGGGGAAGGCACAAAGGCTGCAGCCTGCTTGGACAGTGGAGCTGGCAGGGCTCGGACCCCGGAGTGCTTCCAGAGCCAATATCTGACCAAAACCAGCACCCAGGGACGGGTCTACAACTTCCTGGAGAGGCCCAGTGGGTGGAAGTGCTTTATCTATCATTTTGCTGTGTAAGTACATACATTTTCACGTGATCTTTGGTGTAAGAAAAATCTGAAACTGCCCATTTAATCAGCCAGGAATCAGTACCTGAGCTCCTGGGCACAAAACCTGTTGCATGACTTATCCCCTGAAGGCAATGGAAAAGCCAGTTCCTAAAAAAATCAGCCACAATATCCATTATCATTTCCAGAGAAGGGTTTTTATTCTTCAAATGATCTTTGTTTTCAAGGATGTACATGTATATTTGGTATTTCTGAGGGCAAATCCTCTATGCTCCTGGCAGTTCTGATTGCTGATTGAGCTGCTTTACACTGTTCCAGCTTCAGACACTGCAGTTTTTAGCAGGAGATGTGGCAGGTCCAGCTGTGATCAGACACATCCTGCTCTTGTAAGTTTGTTTTGCTCATGCTAAAGAACCAAAACAAGTAATTTGTTAGACAAACACACAACATTACCAGTTTGAATTGATTTATAGTCGTGAATGTGAAATGAGTACAAACTTAGCAAAATGTTTTTCATTATACCATGTATGTAGTACATGCAAGAAGGCAATTAAGGCTTCCATTTACCCTTGTAAAGCAGTGGTTAGTATATTAATCCAGCTGTTACTGTTCCCTTTGAGTTGCTTATGGTATCTGTCAAGCTTAGCAAGACCTCAATTACTGTTCTGAATGCTGCTTAGCAGGGAGATAATTTGTCATCTTAGCTGTAGAAAGGGTCCAGTTGTGCTCTCACTGAGACCAGAGCAAGTTTTACTGACCAGCTGAGCCAAAAGGCCTTGCTTTTATTATAAAATTAGCATATTTCCTAAAGAAATGCAGAGTGTTGAAATCGCTCTGTTTGTCTGAGATAAACTATGGCCTGACTGCATTTGGGGAAAAAAAAAACATTATCAGTGGCTGCAGTCAGGAACTGCCCAGAGAAATAGATGGTAATTCTAGGGATGAACCCTTATGCTTCTATTTAGCATAAAATATTCTCATTAATACTTGCTTTCTTTCCCCCTTCAACATCATATACGTATTTTTGAAAGGATTTTTTTGATTCATGAAATTTCTCCAAGTGAAAAGATAGAGCTTCTTTCAAGATCTATGCTTATAGCATGGATTATTCCTAAGGACTAAACAGATGTGATTTGTGTAGATTTAAATATATGAATAGTCATGATTTAAACCTATTTGAGACTACTAATCTTGCTAAAATGCATTTGTTTCATCATCTCTGTTGCTTTTATCCCCTACTAAGGTTGACCTTTAATATCTACTGTTTTATTTTGAAATGGGCATTAAGATAAAATGGAAAAATAAAAATCTATACACCCCCTCAGTACTAGGAAGTTGGAGAAAATATTGGTAATACCAACCGCAACCTTTTTTTTAAGGATTCCTAACTTACATGAAAGAATATGTAAATTGAGTGCTCTTAAAAGTAATTTGTCTTTGTGGCTGTTAGAAAGGAAACATTTGAAACATCTTTTGGCAAGCATTTTGTCTCAAGGATATTTTTACTAATAATTATCCTAGTAACTACATGATGTATTCATTTAAATAACGAGTTTGGAAAGAACATGCCTTATAAAATTATATATCATTACAGTGAAACATTAAAAAAAACAAACTACTAATCTAAAATACACTTAATTTTATAACTAGAACAACCTGTAATTTATTTTTAAAAAGCTTCCCATGTTTTATGTGTGGGTTTGGAGGTAACTTAAATGCAGCTCATCTGATGCTGATGACTGTTTTCCTAGAAAATCCAAACTTTCAAGTACATTGCTGATATTTGTGTAGCCTGGAGGAGCTGGATGTGCTCTGTCCCTTCTGTCCTTCATGTGCCACAAAGATCACACAACTCATGGACAAACCTGGGGGAAGCTTTCTGTCCCAGAGGGACTGGAGTCTGTTCTGATCTGGAGTCAGTTCTGCTAGAGAGAGCCTGACTTTCCAAAACCAGGCAAGGTGAGGGAACAGCCAGTACTCCAGAAGGTGACCTCTTCTTGTTCTGAAATAACAAAGATAATCACCAATAACATTTGTAGAAAGTTTTTGGTTTTTTTTTTTAAGGGAATAAGCTCAAGGTTCTTACAGAACTTTATAAAAGTGTTAGAAAAGGGAATTATTTTTGCCTAATTAAATCTAGAATTTGCATTATTTTAGTGGAGTTATTGGAGTTTTAGTGGAGGTTGAAATTATGGTTTCAAAACAAAATATTTGAAGGGGTGAGTTTGAGAATCCCTCCTGCCAGTCTTGAAAACCTTCTCACTTGGATACTTTTCTAGTTTAGGACTGTGAAATACTTCACTTCTAAAATGCCCAACAGAGTAGAGGATCTCACTTAGCGGGAGCTGAGGGCTTGAGCAGCAGCTGCCCCATGAGCTGACAATGTATTGATCCTAACCATCAATTCCTGTGGCTGTGTAAGAGCCCTGGGGTGCTGGAGATCACCTGTGTTAGAGCCCAGCTGTTTAATGTGAGGTCCTCAGTCCAGAAAAAGCAGCAAGTGCCTGGCTTGAGTTCATTTCTAAACTCAGCTATGCACTTGCTTTTAAATCACATCCAGATGTCAGGTATTAGGGTATAACCCTCGTATTTTCTCTCTTGAAAGAAAAATACACCATGTATTTGTGATGAGTTATTTACAAAAGTGATGTTACTAAGCAAGCCTACACATTTAAATCATTTAATTGCAGGTGGAGTCTTACTTATGTGATGGATATATTTCTGAAGCCTACATCCATTTAATGACTACTGGAATGGCTCCACTGTAGCCATGGAATGCTGTGTCCACCTGGCTGGCTGTCACTTGTCACTGTTCTGTGAGCCACAGGGGCCACCTTGTGTCAGCCCGAGGCGATGTCACAGCGTGGGTTCCAGCCAGGAAACCCCTGAACATGCCCAGGATCCACAGTATTTTCCCCCTCAGTTACACCCTGCTCACTGCAGTCCAATCCTCTTTCCGTATCTTTTCCATTTTTCTGGAGCATGCAGGGACTGCTAATTTTGGTCTTTTCAGTTGCTGTTGCCTGGGTAGAGGAATATTTCAGTCAAAAAGCCAGAAACTTAGAGGGAACCTGGGTTCCCTTGGACTGAGAAGTGAGGGAGTAGGACAACTGGCTAACGCTGAGTGTGGTGAAAAGGGAGAGAGGAGAGTCTGGGATTGAGACACTGAGGTCCAGGTTGGTTTGTGGTGGAAGCTGAGACTGGTGCTAGAGATGCTGAAACTGGAGGAAAACAATGCAAGAGCAGCGTAGCTCAAGAACAAAGAGAATCTGACTTAAACAGGAGGTACAAAGGAAAGAGGAAGAAGTCGTGGAGATCAGAAAGCTGGATACAGGCACAAAGGGGACAGCTGAAAATGGTCAGAGAGCCACTGGGAGGAAGAGGGGTAGGACATGACAGCTGGGAGCTAGAGAAAAGCAGGAGTGTGGAATTCATGATGGGACAAGGAACCTTTCACCCATAGGCAACTAATTTGAGTCTTGTCCAAGTCAGTAGTGAAGAAGGAGCAGTGATGGCTGTGGGGAGATACCAAAGGAGCTGTTGGTCCCAGTCCAGTTCTTAGCCAGTGGATGTCACATCACCCCTGGAGTCTGCACAGCTGGAAGGGCTGCTGTCAGGCACTGGAGAAACCCAGACTGGCTGGGAATGGAGGCAAGTCCAAGGCAAGAGGGAGGCCCAGGCCAGGGACTCTTAATTGTGTTCTCAGGCCTGCCATTTTCTTGCTGTGTAACACTGCAAAAGCTTAAGTGAAAAGTTGCAGCTGTTCCAGGTCACTTTGTGCTGGCTTGGCCACTTGTTAAATGAGTTGTTAGACCTTGCTTGTCCTTCAAGTTAGACCAGTCTTTGTATCCCATAAGCTCCTATGGGAGGAGGTGAGCTGATCTAACAGCTAGCAAGCCAGCACCACTTCTGCTCCCCTTGTCCACCCCCAGCACTCAGCGTGCTCCTGCCAGCTGTAGCTGTCCTTGGATAGTTCAATGTGGAGGTCCACTTGAATAGCCAGTTCAACTTCTGACACCAGCAGAAACCTACCCCAGTGGGAAAGAGAGGATGGTCTTTAATCAGGTTAGTACTGCACATTAAGCACCTTGAAACACTGCCCCACTGTTGTTTTCTCAGTGGATCAAAAGCACTTGTTAAATTTTGTATAAAATTGTGCACAATAATTTCAATGTAACATAGCAAATTATCTGGCAAGTAGTGCAGACCACCTGGTTTGACTGCAAAACATTTCATAAATGCAGAGTTTGGATAGCCATAAAGTCTGCTCTGCAGGCTGCCTTGAGATTTCTGGGGAAACAACTCCTCCAAATGGTGACTTAAGAGAGGGTAATGGCTATGGGAAGCTGCCTGTCTCTGGGAATTGTGTGGTACAGACAAGGAAAATGTCTTCCCTAGAGTATGGTTTCCCAAGAACTGGCAGGGGGGTTCACCAATGCCAAAAGGCCCCTTTGTCACCTTCCCTTCTTTTCTGCACACACATTTCTGCTGCACAACTCTGGCACTCACTGGAGCACTCCTACGCTTCATCAGCTCCCTGTAATGGCAGGAATCTAGATCAGCAGGAAATGAGGAGCTTTTGGGACCTTAAGGAGTTGCAGCATGTCAGCAAGTGGTCGAATGGAACTGCAACCAGCACTAGTGCAGTTGGCCAAGACTGGAATGGAATGAAGCAAACTTCCTTGGGTTTTTTTTTTTCTTTTTTTTTTTCTCAACCAGAGAGCTGTGGTGTGGGCTCAGTTTTCTATGAAAACATGCCCAAGATTTACTTTTTTACCCCTCTCCTCCTCCAGACTGACTCCCACAGCTCCTTCAAAGAGAAGCACATGTGCACACATATAAACCTGTTCCTGGCAGCTTGTTGAAAAAAACTCAACTGAACAATTACTGCTGAATAATTAAAAGTGCATGATCCTTACAAAAATGTGAACATCAATAACGTCACAGACTTAAAACTTTGGGAGGAAAGTACAAAAGATCAAAAACATGTTTATAAAAGGGGGGGC